GGAAAAAACATTTTTTTATTTGTTTCATTGGTAGTGAAAAATAATTACCAATCAGTACTTAGGCAGCCCCCCCTGCCCATTTTTGCTTCTGTCTGTTGTTGCTCTTTAATAAGCTTTCATCTTGATGGTTCTGTCCCTGCATCTTCCAATCCAATGGCATTCCTATGACCTGAAGGGGGTGTTAGCTAATAAAAGACCGAGGAAAATGAGCATGTGTGTGCTTGTGTGTGTTGGATAAAGAGGACGACTTGTGCATTGTATTATTTGCAGGTTAAATGCCAAGGTGAAGGAGTGGTCAGAACATAATAGGAATGTAATTTTGGTTAAATTGTTTATACTGTAGTGTAAACCCCAAAGTTCTACTTTTATGGTCCTCATAAGTGCCCATCTACACATGACTAGTGGGCTGACAGCTGTGTCATACTTTTTATTTAGAACATTATCATCGAAGGGTGTTAGAGAAAGTAAATAGAACCACCACCTAATGGGGTAAGAGAATGCTTCATATCATTTTCAACAATTGGATGCCTCTCCCACAGTGCAGTGCATTGAGTACATAATGAAACAAACAGTAGAAATTACAGTACGGTATGGTGCGGGATTTTGACTGATTTTGAAAAAGATGTGCTACACCTTTTCCTGCTGGTAAGTATTGATTTTCTGGAAAAATCTAATTATCTTAATGATTGTCAACTGGTTTCTTGTCTTATCCAACAGGGATACATGAACACTTTTGAAATGTAATAGTACTGTGTGTTTATGAGAATTAAGTGTACTAAAAAAAATAGATAAAAGCATTTCATACTTCACAAGAAAGTCAGCTGCCGAACCAGGCAGTGTTCAAACTGTTGAAGTAAAGAGGAGAACAGACTGCTTGGAACAGGAAAGGCAGAGGATTTCTTGTTATTCTTGGTTGCTGAAGAAATTGGGAAAATAAGTGATCATGGGTGAGCATATTCGACTGCTCAATACTACCAGAGCTGAACAGTGCCAAAAAGGGTGTTGTAGTTCAACAGATGCAATGGATCAGCGATGAAAGACACTGTTCATACTTAAGTCTGTTGGCCAGTTGTTTTGACAACCTTGTTTATTGAATCAAACGATACATCCAGCATGCACCTACGCATAGTGTAATGCTCTCTGCATAGGAGAGATCAGCAGTTCCAGCTACACATGCAGGAATAGAAAATTGATGCAATCCATTATGCTAAGTTTTATTAAGCTAGACTTTGCATAAACGTATTCCTTTTTAACTACACTGTAGTGATTTTAACATCATTGATGGAATATGATTTAGTGTCCAGATTCAACCATGACATTTGGGTCAAGATGCAACATCCATATTTGATTTAGGTTTCCAGACCTTTACTTTTCCTACCGTGGTACTGCCTTCTCTGTGTGCCATCTGAATCTTATACCTTTCCAAGCTCTATTCTGTGATGCACACACATGGTCCTCCTCAAACCCAGTCTTTATTCCTGTTTATTTCTCTCCTCTCTCACATTCCTCTCCCTGGGGCTTGTTGGCCTCGCAGATCATTTCCCAGGCTCCTGGTGCCCAGGCCAGGGCCTGTCTGTTTTCATTCCTTTCCTGGAGGACAAGTAATTTGGGGGAGAGAGAGGGAGCATAGATGACCACTGGCTTCTGACCTTTTCTCCCTCAATTTAACTCCTCGCTGCTGTGCACACTAAATGTGGCAATCAGGCTAGGCAGAAGTGACACCCTCATCTGAGCATGGTCAGACCCCACACACAATCTCTGTGTCACTTTCTATTTATATGCAGGTGCTGTGGGCAAGTGCTAGTACTTGAATAGGGGATACAAAGCAGGGGGTCAAGGTCCAAGCTAAATTCATGTTAGCATACATTTGCACCTTGGTCCACTCAGTCATGCTCAGAATATTGTTCAAATTTGAAGGTGTTCTTTTGTAATTGCAGTGTAACCAATTGCGACTCATCTTTATTTTTTTCCAACCTTGGCTACTTTGGAAAAACGCTTCGCTTTCCGTCTATGTCTGTCTTTTTCAGAAGCAAATTTTTCAACACCATAATTTTCACATGGTAAAATTTCCCCATAAACAAGGACAAGGGTGGAATTCGTGGATATTATTTTCACGGACCTGATGAATATAAGGCATGACTGTGCTGAGTGACTTTACCAACGTAAACTTGAGTGAATACAATTATGAATATGTATTGAAATGACTAAGGAAGTTTAATGTGAAGAGAGCATAGGAGAGACTTCTTTTTCGCGTATTTTTTAAAGAGATAATGTTACAGAAGAACCAACAGAGCAGATAAACGTTCAGTTGAATCAATAGATTAATTTATTAATTAATTCCATTAATTCAACTTACTTACTTTTTGTCAACAAGACAAATAATAGCTTCGTTGTCTTTTGCTGGTTATCCAACTTTCTTGTTTGCAACACACAATGCCTCCTGGGCATCTTGTTTGTGGCTGGAAATCACCAGTGAAAAATAGTGAAAATAGGGATTTCAGAAATGTAAAATTATTTGCCTTACTTTTTTGCAATCACTTATTTCATGTGGTAAACAGATCTGACATGCATACAACAGACCTGACATGCATACAACAACCTGACAAAAACCTGAGAGAGACCGTCTCAGGTTGTTGTCTCTGGACCTTGGTGGTCAGCTGGAGCCAGAAGGATTGCTTGGGCCTTCACTGTGTCTGGCAAATTACTTTTCTCATTTGCCCATTGGCCTTCTCGTTGCCAAAGAAAAGAAGGTCTGAGTGTCAAGACCAGGCGCCAAAAAAATAAAAATAAATTAATACAAAATAAAATCAAAATAATAATAATAACCCAAATTGGGAAAGTTGTCATCTGAGGGTTGGAGTTGGGTCTCCCTTTTTTATGGGTCATACAACTAACTCTGGTGAGGTAAACAAAACAAAAGTGATTAAGGCTGACATGTGGACAAACAAAAATAAAGTAAAATGTCTCTTTTTCTGTAAATTCTTCTTCTTTACTTTTCCTAACTTTTTTAATCAACTATGAAGAAAAAGATTACACAAAGTAAAGACCAAAAGTTTGAAAAGAAATAAAGCGTTGACACACAACTCAGCTGATTTTTTTGACATGGGATAACAAGTTGGATTTACAGAATCGATCCATGATCAGGCCTAAATCTCTCCTTTAAGCCAATTATTTTCTTGAAAATTATTGATTAAACATTCAGGAGAGACAAGATTAAAACAAAGAATTGAAAGAAACAAAGACACTTTATTTCTTCATGCTACAGTTTATATAAACATGTTTTAAACACCACACCTTATGGAGATAATAGAAATAAATAAATTAAATATCTGATGAAACATAAAAAAAGACATGAATCCTGATCTTAAGTCTTAAAATTACTCTAAATTGTGTTTCTGCCTTTTTTTCTTTCTGCACTAATACTGTCCTGTAAATAGTCTGTGGTTTCCAAGACCTATGCACATTATGTACGCTTTTTATGCAGTTCCCCTCTTGTGGGACAATAAAGGCTTCTATTTTATTCTATTGTATTCTATTCTGTTTTGTTCTATTCTATTAAAGTAAGTACATGTAGTACAATGTGTAGTTGAGTTATATATGATTTAGTGCACTTCATTAAGATTTAACTCCACTATGCTACAGACCACTAGATAGCACTGTGGCTCCATAGTACATTTAATTATTTTTGACAACTCAAACAATCAAATCTCAGCCATCCAGCTGAGTGTAGCATTGAGGAAGATATCAGAGGCTGAGATATGCATGAAAATTCTTAGATAATATTTACAGAGATAAAAAATACATTTAATATAGTTTTGACAGTGAGGCCCAATTTTTTTCTGAGGGCAAAATTATTCTCACTAGAGTTAATGAAAAAACAATCGCCCAGGTTCAGGGAAGGGATAGAACTGATTTGTACAATTGCTTATGATGACATGTAGGATTATGATCAGGATCTAAATCAGCCATCTTGGTTAACTATAATTCCAAGAACTCCAGGAAATATTAATTGACAACGGGAATACAATTCACATCACACTTTTGGAATGAAAAAAAATCCATGCCTCCATTTTTAATTCTCACAAGGTAATATAAATTCAGTAAAATGATTCAACCAAATTCTGCAAAAATGAATACATTTGACACTGCCATTCATTTCAGTCACTAAATCAAGAATTTAAAAAATAGGCAGTTTGTCTCTTATTTTTCACTTGCTGTATTGCCATCTCATTAAAGAAACAGACATTTGCCTATTCACTAGCAGAATAATTATAACAACTTTTGACAACTATACAAATATGTTGGCTTGCTAGCTTTCAAGTATTTCACCTGTAATAGCAGGGAGTGTTAAGTGAGAACATAGCTCAAAGACATACTCACTATCTATGTATTAAAACATTAAAAACCATTAAAATAATTTTGAAATTAAACTAATTACAGATAAGGGTTAGTTCACACATGCTGATTAAAGCTTTAGAATTCTTTCACTGAACTCGAGACTGACCCATACTGATCTAAAATTATGATCTGAAGGTTTTAGCACTTGAGCAGAAGAAAAAGATAATTGAAGACTTGCAAGTTAAGAAGAATATTAATTCTTACAGTTTTTGTCAATACTGCTTGGAAATAAATTTGTACCATTTTTATGGTAATAAGGAAAGAAAAAAATAATTATGTGGCTCTAAATGGTGGTCTGACTAGGATGTGCAAAAAGATGTGACTCTCTTAGTCAAACAGTGTTTTCTGTCTCTGGCAATGGATCTCATTCAGAGGAATGATGAATAGCTTGTTAGAAAAGGGATGGTGGTAGGGGGGCGCTAGTGCGCAGCTGCAGGATGTAGACGTGTTGGTTTGCGCTCTCCACCACAACTTTAAATAAATATCTAAAAACCACGATAAAAACATCCAGGACCCGGTGCTGTTGGTTTTGCACCTCTGACTAGTAACCGGGTATCATGCCGCCGCCGAAAAAATCCACAAACTCCGGTAAAAATAAGACCATGGAAGGATACATCGGCGGTGCTAACGCTAACGAGGCTAATGCCAGCAGTGGCCCCGCCAGCGGGACTGTGAACGAAGCTGGGGACTGCGCTTCGGGAGACAAAACCCAGATGCTGGTAATGTGCCAGGAAATATGTAAAAATATGTCAGCCTCAATTCTGGAGAGGCTTGATGAGCGCTTTGACGCCCTTGAAGTCAGGCTCCAGTCTATTCAAGCTGCACAGACTGACTTACAAAACCGTATGGCCGGCCAAGAATCAGCAATTAACGCTCATGAAGAGCGACTGGGGAAACTTGACGCGAAGTGTGCGGAGCTCGCCAAGCTCGTTACTCAACAGCAAACTAAGTTGCTGGACTTGGAGGCTCGTTCCCGAAGGCACAACATCAAAATCGTTGGTGTAAAAGAAAACTCAGAAGAAGGGAGACCAACTGAGTTTGTCTCTAAGCTTATTCCCGAATTACTGGGGAAACAACATTTCCCGCATCCACTGAAGGTCGACCACGCACACCGCTCTCTGTGGCCCAAGCCGGTCTCGGGCGAGAAACCATGCACCATCATCGCCCGAATACATCACTTCCAGATGAAAGAGCATATTCTACGCCTGGCCAGGACGCAGCCGCTGGAATACGAGGGGAACAAAGTGCTGATTTTTCCTGACTACACCAGCGAAGTGATGAGCCAGCGCCGCACGTTTCGAAACGTGATGCAAGCCTTGAGAGGGGAGGGAATCAAGTTCCAGCTACGGTACCCGGCCCGGCTGCAGGTGCAGTGGCAGGACGGCAACTCCCCGGAGGTATTCAACGACCCGGATCAGGCGGGGGCGGCTCGCCTGCGGAGGAAGGGCGGCACGACTGAAAGGGAATAGTAAGCCAAGCGGCAGCCTTTTTTTCTTTTTCATCTTTTCTGTTTTAAGGATGCTGAGTCCCTGTTGCTAGCCACCAGCATCACGCAGTGGTTTATCCTACGAACTATATCTTTAAAAATGTACAGAAGACCTGAACGCAAGCTGAATAGCCCGGGTCTGTTCTTTTTTCTTTTAGAAATACATTTTAAGATTATCTGGTTGAGTTGTTTAGTTCATCTGCCAGTCTAATGTTTGTTGTGGAGGAGGATGTCGCGACCTGACTGTTTTGTCCGCTATCTGTCCGGCAGCTCCTGTTTTGCTTAGGGGGAGATGGGCGTCGTGTTCCGTAGACGCCGGGATGTGGGAGGGGGGGAGTTTGGGGTGTGTGTTATTTGTTTCTTTCGTTCTACCCAGATGCACATATGTTATTTGTTTGTATCACACAACATCAAAACTGCCAGCTCTGACAATATATGTGTTCAATGACTGATGCTTGTGGTGGGGGGCGGACGGAGGGGAGAAACCTGCAACTGATCTCATGGAATGTAAAAGGTCTTGGTAGTGCAAGGAAGAGGGGGAAAGTTTTTAAACACCTGAGGTCCTTAGCTGCGGACATTGTTTTCCTACAAGAGACCCATATTAGAAAAGATGCACAAGATAGATTAAAGTGCAGCTGGGTGTCTCAAATATACCAGTCGCCATTCACTTCACACGCTCGTGGTGTGGCCATATTACTGAGAAAGAATATCCCATTTCAGGCATCATCTGTGGTCAATGACCCTATGGGCAGGTACGTGATGGTAACTGGCACCATAGACTCAAAACATTTAATTCTCCTTAATGTTTATGGCCCAAATTCAGATGATCCTAATTTTTTTAGAAAGGTTTTTGACCTGCTTCCCGATGATAGCCATTTAAATGTAATAATAGCAGGGGATTTGAACTGTTATCTTGACCCCTTTCTTGACAGATCATCGAAACGACCAACATCCGAGACAGCATCTACCAAACTTCTAAATAATCTTCTCAAAGCAAGGAATATAGTTGATATTTGGAGGGCTCAACATCCTGCGAGTAGAGAGTACTCATTTTACTCACATGTGCATAAATCCTACAGCAGGATTGATTATTTTCTAATAAGTAACAATCTTATTTCTCAAATTGCTGACTCTAAATACCATAATATACTGATTTCTGATCATTGCCCCCTAGCTTTATCTCTAAATCTGTCCCTCCCTAGACAGGCCTACTCCTGGCGACTTAATGCAAACCTTCTTAATGATGATAACTTTGTTAATAACATAACCTCCAAATTAAAGGACTTTATAAAAATAAATGATAATGGTGAAGTCTCGGATCCCATCTTGTGGGAAGCATTGAAGACCGTTATCCGCGTCGAAATAATTTCCTACACATCAGCCCTTAAAAAAGAAAGAGATAAACGTCTATTTGAAATCAACTGTGCCCTCCCCAATCTGGAAAGAAAGTACCAAATTTCTGAATCACCTGACAACTATAAGGAAATACTTAAACTTAGATATGAATATAACGAAATTATGAGCAGCCAGGTTAGTAACTTGCTTTGGAAACTACGACAAAATAATTTTGAGCTTGGTGATAAACCTGGGAAACTGTTAGCGCTACAGTTCAAGGGTGCCCAAGCCACAAGGTCAATCTATAGCATCAAGTCAAAGTCCGGTGTGCTCTTAACCAACCCTGCTGACATAAATCGTAGATTCAGAGAGTTCTACGCCAACCTGTATTCCTCCGAGAATAATGCAACACAATCCGATTTTAATGATTTTTTGATTCCCTCCCGTTGCCTAAACTGAATAAATCTGACAGGGACTATCTGGAAACCGACTTGACGCTTCAAGCGGTCACAGAAGCTATAAAATCCCTGACGGCTTTGGCTCGGATTTCTATAAAAAAATTAGCAACCTTCTTTCACCACTCTTGTTTAGAATGATGTCTGCTTCAAAAAAGGATGGAAAACTGCCCAGAACTCTTTATGAGGCCAACATTTCTCTTTTTCCTAAAAAGGGGAGGGACAAAACCAACCCGGCCAGCTTTAGGCCAATTGCACTACAAAATGTTGATCGCAAGATAATCACAAAAATATTGGCCACTAGACTGAATAAATATTTAACATCTATGATTCATGAGGATCAAACATGAATCATAGATTATCTTTTTTTAATGTAAGACGACTACTTAACACTATATACTTCGACCATAAAAATGCTAATGCCTCTATCTTGGCCCTTGACGCACACAAAGCCTTTGACCAGGTAGAATGGCCATTTATGTTTGAGTCATTGCGTAGGTTTGGCTTCGGCGAGACTTTCATTTCATGGGTGAAACTGATATATCAAGAACCCATGTGCTCCATCCTGACAAACAATGATCGGTCAGCTACAGCGCTCAGTTCAGCAGGGCTGCCCGCTGTCACCAGCACTTTTTGCTATTGCTTTGGAGCCACTTGCTGTGGCAATAAGGACGCACCCTTCCATTGAGGGTCTTCGAGTCGGTGGTGTTGAAACACTCATTAGTTTATACGCCGATGATGTGATATTATATTTGCACGACACTGTGAAGTCTTTCCCCTTCCTCCTCAGCCTGATTACATCTTTCAGTAAAATTTCCGGATATACAATCAATTGGTCAAAGAGTGAGTTGATGCCTCTTTCCAATACACTCCCATCTGGGTTCTTACAAAAAGTTCCATTCAAAGTGGTTGAGAGCCATCTCACCTATCTTGGTCTTACTATACCCAAAGACCCCAAACTTATTTTCAAACTAAACTTTGCGGAGTTTTTATCAGGTTTAAAGCAAAATATTGAGTACTGGAAGACTTTGCCTCTGTCAATGATTGGACGCATTAATTCAATCAAAATGATCTCCCTACTTAGGTTCTTGTATTTATGTCAAAATCTTCCTATTTATCTTACAGCAACTTTCTACAAAGACTTGGATTCGATCATTCAATCCTACATATGGAATGGGAAAAATGCTAGGATTTCTAAAGTGCATTTACAGAGGCCGAAGGAGGAGGGAGGTGTGGGCCTGCCTATATTTAAACATTATTATTGGGCTGCCAACATCAGAGCATTAATGTATTGGCAACAGGACTCCCCAGGTAACCCAATGACTAATATTCCTTTGTGGCTCAAGATGGAGTCCAATCTGGTGAATAACTCCTCCCTACCAGCTATGCTATTTGCCCGGCTTGAAAAACCAGAAGCCTATCGAAATTTGAGCTTTGTGCTGAGACATGAAGTAAGAATTCTAAATCAGATCAGGACTTTCCTTGCACTACCAAATACATCAGTACAGACGCCGCTTTGCTTTAACCACAGTTTTTTGCCTCCTTGGCAGGACAAAGCTTATCATGACTGGAGGGAAAGAGGATTGGTGTTGATTAAGGACATGTATATTGGCAACAAGTTTGCATCATTCGGCCTATTGAAAGAAAAATATAATCTGCCCCACTCTCACTTCTTTCGATATCTGCAGGTCAGGCATTATATTAAGTCAAAAATTGAGAACTTTGACACTCTTCCAAGGGAGAACGACATTTTTGACATCCTTGGGAGTCCCCCTGACTCTAAACATCTCGTTACAAAAATTGTACATTTACTTGGCGACCGCACTGCTGCACACACCACAAAAATCAGGGAGGCCTGGGGAAAAGAGCTGGGGATAACAATCCCTGAACCTTTATGGAACAGATGCCTCTCCAAAATTCGCTCGTGTTCAATAAACAGCAGACATCAGCTAATTCGGTTTAAAATTACGCATTGGCTACACTATTCAAAGGTCAAATTACATAAGATTTATCCCTCTATCTCCCCAATGTGCGACAGGTGTAACATTTCTGAAGGCACACCGTCTCATGTTTTTTGGTCCTGTCCTTCATTATCAGGCCTGTGGTCTAAAGTGTTTGATAGGTACTCCAAGGCATACAAAACTCCAATACAACCTGAACCAGGACTTATAATTTTCGGATGCCCTCGGGTACAAGGGACTATACCCGCTGCAATGCGGCAACCGTTAGAACTGGGACTGATTGTTGCCAAGAGACTAATCCTGAGGGACTGGAAGTCCTCGGTTCCCCCCTCTTTCCGCCTTTGGGTGGCGGACATGATGTCCATTATACAGATGGAAAGACTTTGCATAGGCTCTAAAGACACTTTTTCATGCTAGTGGAATCCCTTCCTGGAACACTTTTCACAGAGAGACTAAGTTGAACACCAAGTTAGACTCTCCCCTCACCTAAATGGCCGTATGCATTCCTATGTATATGACTTTGTATGCATTTGTTGTGTGTGTACACCATTTGTCAACTGGAATGTTTTATGTAGGACCTGTACATCTGGGTTTTTTCTGTTTGTTTTTCTGTATGTTTTAAACCTTGAAAACTTAAAATAAAATGTATTAAAAAAAAGAAAAGGGATGGTTAGTGGATGCAGAGAGACTTAGAGTGGGACATTTGAGTAGTTCCTGGCTGGAGGTAGATATCAACTGATTCACTGATTGACTCATTATGTCCTTTGTTTTTTAGTTCACTTACTGTGTGTACTTACTGTGTTTGGAATATGGAACATCCATCCATCCATTTTCAGAACCGTTTATTCTCTAATGGGGTAGCCTATCCCAGTAATCAGTGGGCGAAAGGCAGGGTACACCCCGGACGGTCCGCCAGTCCATCGCAGGGCCACACAGAGACATACAATTTGGGGTGTCCAATCAACCTAACATGCAGGTTTTTGGACAGTGGGAGGAAGCCGGAGAACCTGGGGAGAACCCACGCACAGGGAGAACATGGGACTCGAACCCAGAACCATTCAACTGTAAGGCGATGGTGCTAACCACCACACCACTGAGCCGCCCAGGAACTAACATAGTAAATATGTTTAAGCAAGGTGGCTTCAGTGTCTTAATTTTTTTATATATAGCTCAGGATCCATCCACAAGGCCTGTTGTGGCATATATAAGCATATAAGTATGTATTTTTAGTGCCAAGTTACATCTTGGTGACCAGAGTCTATTATCCTTTGTGAAACTTGACTTTTTTGTCTTTCAGTGTCTTGTCAGTTACATTACACTACTCTCACAACACATCGACTGTATGTGGGAAGTTAAAGAGGGGGCCTGAACTGTGGAAAATCATGCATATCTCTGTCTCAAAATGATAAATTTGGCTGAAGTCAGAAACCATACCTCCATATCTAACATCAGCGTCAGTGGCACAACTGGGTAGTAGTGCTCTAACTTACATTAATTGACACTTATTGTTGTGTTCTGTTTTGCTCTTTCTGGTTAGGATTCCTTCTGTTTGCCTCCCTATGGAGGATTTCGGGTATGTCTAAAGCCAGATAGAAGGATTATATACCCTGCCTGTCAGGAAACACATTGGAATCCCCCAGGAGGAGATGGGGAATTTTATTGGGGAGAGGGATTTCGAGGTTTCTTGTTGCCTTTTGCAACCTGACCTTGAATAAGCAAAGGAAAATGGATGACTGTATGTATGTACTACTGTGCATTCATTATTCCTATTGAGCATTTTTCCTGACTTTCCTGACTTATAAGTCATTTGAAAGCCTTGTTCTGAGTCTTTCCCACCCAAGTTGGAAATCACTGCAACCTATTGTATCTATTATAGTGTACTGAGCACCCGGTCCCTACTCTGAATTCTTATCTGAATTTGCAGAGTTTTTGTCAACTTTAGTTCTTAAAACGGACAAAGTAATTATCGTAGGGGAATTTAATATTCATGTGGATGGTGAGAATGACAGCCTCAGTACTGTGTTTATCTCTCTGTTAGATTCCTTTGGCTTCTCTCAGAGTGTTCACGAACCAACTCACCGTTTTAACCACACCCTTGACCTTGTTCTGGTGTATGATATTGAAATTGAACATTTAATAGAATCCGTCTGACCACTGTTTGCAAACTTTTTAGCTTTTACTGCTGAATTACCCTCCACTGGATAAAAATGTTACTTAAGACTCTGATATTGCTATAGCTAAATTTAAGGATGCGATTCCAATTATCAGGTCATAAAGAAACAGAGGACTCTTATGTTATTTTAATTCCTTCCCAAGTCTGTTATCTTGTTGATAGTGTTGAAGGCTCACTTCGAACAACGCTTGACGCTGTAGCCCCCCTAAAAAAGCAAATACTTAAACAAAGACGCTTAGCTCCATGGTATACTACTGAAACCTGCAAATTAAAGCAAATATCCCGAAAACTTGAGAGACTGCTTTGCTTCCCTCAACCTTTGTCAACTAACTTCAATCATTTCTTCATCCAAACCATCAACCTGCCTCTTGGACCCCATCCCGCCTAGGCTGCTGAAAGAAGTCTTAGTCAGTACTTCTCCACTAGATTTGATCAATCTGTCTTTATCAACAGGCTATGCGCCACGGTACTTTAAAGTAGCTGTAATCAAACCTCTTTTGAAAAAGCTTAACCTGGACCCAGATGTTTTAGCCAACTATAGACCTATATCTAACGTTCAATTTATCTCTAAGGTCCAGCAGAAAGCAGTAGCCAAACAGCTGTGTGACTATATACAAAGCAATAGCTTGTTTGAAGATTTTCAGTCAGGATTTAGAGCTCATTATAGCACAGAGACAGCGCCGGTGAAAATTACTAATGACATCCTAACAGCATCAGACAAAGGACTTCTCTCTGTATTGATTAGATCTTAGTGCTGCTTTTGACACCATTGACCATCAGATCCTGTTACCTGTTACTGGAACATTTCATGGCATTAAAGGAGCTGCTCTAAGCTAGTTTAGGTCCTATTTATCAGATCGGTTTCAGTTTGTGCATGGTAACGATGAGTCCTCCATGCATGCCAGAGTTAGGTATTGAGTCCACAAGGATCTGTGCTCAGACCAATGCTCTTTACGTTATACAGTATATGCTTCCTTTAGGTAATATTATCAGGAAAAACTCCATTAACTTTCATTGTTATGAGTTATATCTATTGATCAAGCCAGAAAAAAACTCATCAGTTAGCTAAGGTTCAAATGTGTCTTCAGGATGTTAAAACCTGGATGACCTGTAATTTTCTAATATTAAACTCAGATAAAACTGAAGTTATTGTTTTAGGGCATAAGCACCTCTGTGACGCATTATCTACAGATATAGTTTCCCTGGATGGCATCGCCCTGGCCTCCAGCACCACTTTGAGAAATCTTGGAGTTATCTTTGATCAGGACATGTCGTTTCACTCTCACATTAAGTTATTTTCAAGAACCGCCCTCTTTCACCAACGTAATATTGCAAAAATCAGGAGCATCCTGGGTAAAAATGATGCAGAAAAACTAGTCCATGCGTTTGTTACTTCTAGGCTGGATTACTGCAATTCCCTATTATCAGGCTCTTCAAAAAGTCCATTAAGACTCTTCAGCTGATCCAGAATGCTGCAGCACGTGTTCTGACAGGAACCAGTCTTGGCTTCTCTGCACTGGCTTCCTGTTAAATCCAGAATATAATTAAAAATCCTTCTCTCTACATACAAAGCTCTTCATGGTCAGGCACCATCTTATCTAAAGAGCTCATGGATACAAACTCTGGATACATCACTGATCAAAAAGGTATGGAAAGGTGTGGTCAAACATTTGACTGATACTGCCCAGTGCTGTGTAGAGGGTTTTGGACAATATAAAGCAAGGGGCCCCAGGTTGAGACTTAAATCATTTGCAAGAAACAGTTTAAGCCATAATGTTCCTTAATTCTATTTGTTAGCCTAGTTATAAATCTGTTGGTGAGTAAATATTTAATGCCTAAACGTACACAGTGTAGGAATTTCTCCCATCTGACGGTGAAATTGTATTTTGCAATCTAACAAATCGTGCTCTCTAGTGCTTCGTGTTTTTAAATGGGTAGCCATCATGCATCAAGACAACATGACTTCCACATCATCGAATTGTCTCTTGGGTGATGAAGTTTGTAACTTCAAAGAAATTACAAACGGCATTGAATCATTAGTGTGAACATGTAATTACTCCTCATACAAGATAGCAAAGTTTCTGTCACGTGACTCTGGCTCTGAACGAAAACGCGTTGTGGATTAGTTAGACAGGTAGACTTGTGCTGTAAATCCCTTTAGTTTTTCAAAATGGCGGAACAACATGGAAACCTCCGTGGACTTAGCCATCCTATGTATATATAGATAATGAAATTCTTCACTTATAAGGAGAAGTCACATCATTGCAGAGGTAATTCTACACCAAATAAGGACGCATTCACAAATTAAGAAAATTGTTTTAGCTAATGAAATACTTAGAATACAACACAATGTCCCTTTAAGTGTTCTATTTACAATTAACATACCATACCACAACAGAATTCACTGGTCCCTGAAGAAAATCCTATTAATCTATGTTCCTCACTTTTTGCTCCTCCATTGCCTCTGGGTGCATTTAAGAATGTTAAACAGTCTTCAGAATACTTGATTATAAATGATTGATCGGCTTAAAACAGGAGGAAAGAAGCTTAGAAAAAAAACAATGAAAGTTAGAAGACTGAGAAGAGCCCACTGTGTTGTATACTAAACTAGGTCTAATGAGTCATATATATGAACAAATCCATTTGATGGTCAGTATGCGTGGACAAAAAGCAAGAATTCTACCTAAAATCTTTTTGGCACATAAAGTGAACTAGTTCTAAAAAAATGTTTCTCAAACCAACTTCACTGACATAAAAACTTGTTTTACATCAAACACATGTTAACGGGTTATAGATGTAATTACTATGTAACTGCTTAATTTGCTGCCCTTATCCTTTCCAGTGTATAGTTGCTTCATTTCTGGTGTGAAATTATATATTGTCATCAGTATCCATAACCTCTCTCATTGAACTTGTTTTCTGAAAACTTGTTAATTATTTAGCAAAGATATCATGTCTTCTAACTTTGCAATGTGATTGCAGTTATGTCAGGATGGTAGAGGATTTTTTACATAAACATTCCATAGCCTGAAACTGCATCAGAATGCCAGAGTCATGGTCATAGTCTTGCATTGGTTTGTCTCAAACCCACAGTTCCAATTCCCCAGTTTTGTCCTGCTCAGTGTCCTCCCTTAGGCCAAAGAGGAGTCTGCTTGCTGAGAAGCTGACAAACTGGTCTGTTTCAATGGAAAACCTTTCATGTATAATTAATCTGACTCATGCACCTTCCGGCCCACTTACTGTGATCTCTGCACCCATTGGAATTCATTCCAGTGGTCCTCCTACAAGTCCTCATCACTCAGTACCCATGTAAGCAAATTCTTAACAACATTAGGCAGACTGTTCAATTCTCTCTGGGAAAATAATTCAATAGCCAGCCTAACTTAAACCCTTGAAAAACATCTGTATTTCTTATTATATACATATTACCTGTCACAGGTTGGAGTTCAGAATAATCAGGCATGTTATTGAATGCTGAAAACATACAGAAAAGAAAAAAAATCAGCAAAATTGTTATGATATATGTTTGGTGATCATGAAGTAAGTTAATGAGTTATTAGATACAGTAGTTGTCTCCCTGACCACAGGATAAAGACAAAGAGCTATGAAGAGCTATGAAGACAGTAATCATGGTATTTTTTTTGTAGGTGGATGCTCATTCTGACCTCCATTATATATGGAGCTAGTAACAAAAATAATTTCCTTCTGAGATTATAAAGTATTTCTGATTCTGATTCTGATTCCAAAAATGCAAACTGGATGGATTGGTACACCATAAAGATAAAGGGGTGATAATACTGTATCAGTTTACTCAGCAAATAATAATAAGAGATGGTGAAAAGAGGAGAGCTCCATAAAATGCACAGCAGCTTGCTTTCTATAGAACACTACTTTTTCTTTTTCTTTGTGTTTGATCAAACATGTACCACTTTTACAATGAAGCAGCTCTATTGGAGTATTCTTTCATTGTAAATTATATTTAAATTCTTTCATTTTTGAGAGACTCCAGTAAAAACAAAGGTAGCAGACTCTTTATATATGTGTTAGAGAGACACTGTTCACCCGATATGAGTATATGTCTATTTAATGCCGTCCTTATTATCTCCTGAGGGAACTAAAAGTAGTAGACATAACAGTGATGTAAATCCCCCTCAATGCTAATGCTAGCCTGGCACTCTCTCCTATTGAATGTCATTAATAAACAACAGCGGATGCACCCTGATGGCGTTCACATCTTAGCTGAATCTGATTTAAAGACTGTACTCCCAAATTCCACCAACACGTTAACTCTTGATCATGTGTACTCCAGTATCAAACACAGCTGCAGAACAACAACCCTCCCTACCTCAGGAAGTCAGACCATCTTTCCATGCCGCTCATCCCTGCATACACACCCCTAAGACACAGATCCTTCATAAAAACTGTTACAACCTGGCCTGAGGATGCTCTAAGTGTATTGCAGGACTGCTTCCAACACACTGACTGGGACCTATTTGAACACCAGGACAACACACACACACAGACAGCTACATGGAGTTCTGTATGGAACTTTTGGGTCATTGACAGAGTTCTCTACAACATGGCTCGAGCTGACCTGAATAAAGGAGTTAAAAACACCAAAGAGAAGGGTAGAGTCCCACCTCACTAGTAACAGACTCTGGGACGTGTGGCATAGACTACAGAACATCACAAACTTCAGGGTCTGTGATTAAACACCAGCTGACCAGAGTGAGTTGCTGGTAGAAGAGCCCTACAGCTTCTTTGCTGGTTTTGAATCACTACATAAACACTCATCTGCTCCAGCCCTGCAACCCGCAACGTCAGGCTCCAGAACCCCCTCACTCACTGTGAAGGAGGACGATTATAGTATGTAATCCTGGCTGTGAACCCCGGTAGGCTTCTGGTCCTGATGGGATACCAGGCAAGGTGCTCAAAACATGTGCCCAGCAGCTGTCCGATGTATTCTTCAGGATATTCAACCTGTCCCTTGCCCAATCAGTTATCCCCATAAGCCTGAAATCAATCACAATAATTCCAGGTCCAAAAAAATTACCCACAACAAGCCTCACTGACTGCCCCCCATTGCTCTCATACCTACTACAATGAAGTGCTTTGAGAGACTGGTTTTCCAGCACATCAAAGACTGTCACCCCAACACACTCAACTCCAATTGCACACCGGGCAAACAGGTCCACAGAGGATGCCATCATTGTTGCCCTACGTGCTGTGCTGAGCCACCTGGAGCACTGGCAGAGTTATGCCAGGATATTCTTTTTTGGACCACAGATTGACATCACTTTTCCTCCACCCACACACAGAGCCACAGGTCACCACAAGGCTACATGCTGAGCCCCCTCTTCTACTGCCTCTACATATAAGACTGCTATGACTGACCACAAAGACAACATTATTTTCAAGTTTGTGATTATACAACAGTGGTACCACTGATCTTGAGGGGAGATGAGTCAGCCTACAGTGAGGAGGTCCAGAAGCTCTGAACCAAATCCTCAGACAACATCCTGGCACTGAATGCCAAAAACACAAAGGAGATTATCATTGACTTCAGAGGAATAGAGCTGACCCACCTACCCCAACATTAATGGCAATTGTGTGGAGAGAGTCCTGACCTTCAGGTTCCCCGGAGTCCATATCTCCAATGAGCTCTCCTGTACAGACAACATCTCAGCTGTCATCAAGAAGACCCAGCAGCTTCGACACTCCTTGAGAGTCCCCAGGAAGAACAACCTGCTACTGGCCTCTGACTGCTCATCCGTCGTGAGCCTGCTGACAGACTGCAGTACCACTTGGTATAGGAGCTGCAGAGAGGCAGACAGAGTGAGGCTCCAGAGAACTGTCAATACAGCACAAAGGATTGTTGAAAGTCTTCTGCCCTCTAGCAAACATTTACTCCACCGGGTACCTCACCAGAGCCCGTAAAATCATCCAGGATAGTTCACACCCTGGTTCTCAGCTGATGGAGTTGATGCCCTCTGGGAGGAGCCACAGATGCCTCGAAACAAAGCCTAAGCGTTTTTTTTTCATTGGCCATCACTATTGTGAACTCAGATGTAAAAAACATACTGTGCAATATTCCTACCACTGCCGTTGCCGTTCCTTCATTTGCTCTATTTCAACATTCTTCCATCCTGTGCAAAACAATCATACCGTGAATCTACCTAAATATGTAAATAACCAGTATCTCATAGAATAATTTGGGCAATATTTTCTAAAAATCTTCTACATTTGCATTTATACATTTAGCAGATGCTTTTATCCAAAGATACTTACAAAAAGAGGGTTTTACATTAAACTCCTCTTTATAATATATTTGTACTTTTTACTTTTCTCTTTTTTATATTTGGCTATTTCGCACTTTTTTTCTCATTGTTTTAGTTGACTGTTTGCACTGTAATAGGAGAAGCTCACCAATCTCATTGTACACTGTACAATGACAATAGAGGGCATTCAATATTATTAAATTAAATTCAGAAGCAGAATTATCGCCTTTATAAGAGAAAATACGGTGCCATAACATATTGGTGGTGTAAGCCAGGAGGAAATGGTGAACAGCAGCTTGTGGTAAAAGGTTTGGTGGAAATGAAAATAACACTCATGGGCACCAGACATCAATACACCATTTAAAGGTGAGATGATTTTTAATCAATCCATGTGAGTGTTGCTACCAACTTCCTTACAGGCCCAAGATATTGTCAGCTGTAAAAATGAACTTCAAATGATCCTCTCTCTACTGTTTCAAGTTTCCTGTGCAGCCAGACCTTTCCCCTGGATTTTTCCATTGTTGTAATTTTTCAATTTGAAAACTTTCCTCATTTTCACTTCATTTAGGAAATCCTACTGTATTAGCCTAATAGGCATGTTTTTGGACTGTCAAAGGAATGCTGAGCTCAGAGAGAAACCAAATGGGCCCAATAAGAACACAGAAAGTCTCCACAGTAGAACCACTGGCTGAGATACAAACCAGGTGTCTTCTTACAGTGAAGCATGCATCCCCTTAGATTATTAATCATTTGAATTAATTAAATTGGGTAATGATTGGTCTGATCTGAACTTGAGCATTTTAAAAGTGTCTTCATTGGAAACTGATACCTACTGAATAAACAAAAATTAAATGAGAAAATCAAAAAACAATTATTTTGTTTGATTTTTTCATATTTTTCATATTACCTTCTCTATAAAGACTCTATAAAGCATCACACTCGGTTGATATCAATGACCTGCCTACTAATATAATCTATACAGTCTACACACAAATATTAAATTCAGTTTCTCATACAAATAAAATAAGAAGAATTAGTTGCCTGCAACCACTCAAATAACATAAAAAGGGAGACAATTCTTCAACAAGAATATAGAAAGACAAATAAACAGTGTGACATAAATTTCTTTCAGCCATCATGGCATTCACTAGTGACTTTTATAGCTTGAAAGTAAGAGGAGGGGTGCTATCAGACTATTGGGCTTTATTACAGTGGCTATAATAGGGCTTGCTGGAGAGTTTTATATGTTTCTGTCTCGCTAAGTGCCATCACAGCACTCTATTCTCTTACAGTGTGATTGTTACAGCAGGTTTTGTATGATAGGCTTTTGTGCCCACTCTCCAAAACCCCTCACCTCATCCGCAATGCTGTCTCTTCTCTACTCTTCATTTTCCGATTTTCAGAGACAACCCAGCACACAAAGACACACACACACACCAGAATCCTCCTCCTTTTCCCCGTCTAAATAAAGAGCTCTATTTATCAAAGCCAGACCAGGATCCAATCTCTTGCAGGCTCTCTGGCCTTCGGTCAACTATCTCTGAAAACAGCAGCTTATAAAGCCAGGGCATATGCGAGGGCTGCCATGATTACATTTTTGATCTACCAAAGGAATCATTAACACTCCATAATTCACATACACAATGCACACAGATCCCAGCTTTCAATAGCCAAAGAATCTTATATACATGTCCCTGTCTTTCATTGTATGTAATTTTTATAACAAATTGAAAAAGCAGAATTTGATGTGTTATGGCTCCTAAATTTATAGGTCTTTTCTATTCTTCATACAGGTGATGACGTGGTGATGTGTGCTACTCGGGACACCAACACCCCAGACCACTTCTTCTCCACCACAAAGCACCCCTACCTCTCCATCCCCTGTGCCCCCCTTCGGCACCCCAATTACAGGATTACACAGATAGGCCCACCTACTGGCAGAGACTGAAGAGGTCCAAACCATCCAGGACTACAGTAAGGAGGTGGATTCCAGGGGCAAAGGACCACTGATGAGTCTAACAACTCTGCAGTTGTGTGGAGTACCCTCAGGACCATCAAAAATGACAAAGGTAAAGGCCCTGTCATTGCGCCTTACCCTGGACTAGCTGACGATCTAAACACCTTTTACACCAGGTTTGAGAGACCACATGCCCCCCCCCCTTGTCTCCACTTCTGGGTCCCCCCTCCCTCGCCTCATCGCCATCTCCAGTGCTCCACAAGGTTCTGTCCTACCCCTCCTACCTGTTCTCCCTGTACACCAATGACTGCCTTTCCAACCACTCATACATCAAACTGGAAAAATTTGCGGATGACACCACGGTCCTGGCCCTCATCAAGGACAACGATGAGACAGTGTTCAGGACACAGTGTCACAGCTGACATCATATTGTATACACAACAACCTGGAGCTTAACATGGCAACACGGTGGAGATGGTCATGAATTTCCGGACACCCTCCCTCCATCCCCACTTCTCATCAACAGCTCAGGTTGTGAATTCAAGTGGGAGAGACACTCAAAAGTCATCAAGTAGGCACATAAGAGGATGTTCATCCTCAGACTGCTCCGTAAGATGAACAAATGAACATCTCCTCCAAGGTTTACTCCTACTTCTACAGAGCCAGGATTAAGTGTCCTCATTTCCTTCATCACGGTGTGGTACCCTGTATCCTCTGCCCACACCAAGAACAGACTGGAGTGCATCATGCGAACAGTGAGCGGTCTCAAAGGCCTCTAAAAGCAACCTGTGTGCATTCTGCACAATGACAGATCCCAGCAGTGGGCCAGGAGGATAGTGGAAGACCAACTCACAGAGCTTACTCCCAGATCACACCGCTCCCATAACGTCGCAGTTTCATGTTCATCAGGACCAAAACCACCAGGCACTTAAAACATTTTTCCCCCAGGCCACTACCCTCTTAAATAGGGCCACAACTATCCATGAATCCATCCATTATCTACACTTTTTATTCCCAGTGCGGTTGCAGAGGGGGCTAGAGCCTTACCCAGCTGACAATGGGCAAAGGGGCAAGGTAAACCTTGGACAAGTCACAAGTCCATCATAGATTCACTCAGCGACAGGTTTCCATGGGAGGAAACCCATATAGACTCAGGGAGAACAAGCAAACTCCACACAGAAAGGCCTCGGGCCGTGAGGAATTTGAAACAGGAACTCTCTTGCTGTAATGTGATGATGCTACCCACTACACCTTAATCTTACTAAAAAACTTATGAGAAGAATATCAGCTGTTCTTTGAGATGTGTTCTGTGCTTTTGGAGCTTCTCCCTCAAATCGTGGGAAAACTAACCCATCAGATCCACTTGGTGAACTGATTACCACCACTTCCACAGTTGCCTATGCTTTCCATTTCTTTTTACACTTTCAGAAGTTCTTGTTTTCTTTTTTCAATGTTGCTTTTTCATGGAATCACCACTGTCTTCCTAAGTAGATTGTTAGCCCCACTCTGACCAGTTGGCAAATCATCACCAGTTTATCAGAAAATTAAACTATCAAGCAATTCAAATGTTTAAAGTTCTAAAAGATGTTTGTGGAGGGGGCATGGCGCTCAGCTGCACGGGGGAGGTGTGGAAGAGGCTCAGGGGAGCAATCCCAGGGGAGGTGATTAAGCACACCTTAAATCAGTTGGCTAATCACTCTCCCCCTAAATGAGTAGTGGGTTGGACCTGGAGGGGAGGACGAGAGCTGTTGAAGGACCCGAGCCACCAGATCGGGGAGAAAACAGGCAAACAGCCTACCCATGAACAAGCCCACGCTGGGCGTGCGTGTCTGTGTGTGTGTGCACGTGTGTGGGAGAGTGTGTGTGCGTGTGGCACACACGCTCTAAATAAAACCGTTGAAACAACCAATCCTGGTTTCGAGAGACTCTGTCGGGGTATATCGACGTCACCGCCATCTTGGATTTGGCAAAGTGGAACATCGGAGTCAGCGATTAGACAATATACGTGTGTTCATCTCACGGTTCGCTGTTCGCCAACTTCTCAAAAAGCTGTCCTGTGAAGCTGTCCTTGTATATGTATATACAATACAGACCAAAAGTTTGGACACACCTTCCCATTGAAAGAGTTTTCTTTATTTTCATGAATATGAAAATTATAGATTCACACTGAAGACATCAAAACTATTAATTAACACCTGTGGAATTATGTACTTGACCAAAAAGTGTGAAACAACTGAAAATATGTCATATATTCTAGGCTCTTTAAAGAAGCCATCTTTTTCTCTGATTACACTTTGCATTCTCTTGATGTTTTTCAAGAGGTAGTCACCTGAAATGGTTTTCACTTCACAGGTGTCCCCTGTCAGGTCTAATAAGTGGGATTTCTTGCCTTATAGATGGGGTTTGGACCATCAGTTGTGTTGTGCAGAAGTCAGGTGAATACACAGCTGATAATCCTGCTGAATAGACTGTTAGAATTTGTATTTTGGCAAGAAAAAAGCAGCTAAGTAAAGCAAAACGAGTGGCCATCATTACTTTATGAAATGAAGGTCAGTCAGTCCAAGAAATTAGGAAAACTTTGAAAGTGTCCCCAAGTGCAGTCGCAAAAACCATCAAGGGCAACAAAGAAATTAGCTCACATAAGGACTGCCCCAGGAAAGGAAGACCAAAAGTCACCTCTGCTGCGGAGGATAAGTTCATCATAGTCACCAGCCTCAGAAATCGCAGGTTAACAGCAGCTCAGATTAGAGACCAAGTCAATGCCACACAGAGTTCTAGCAGCAGAGACATCTCTAGAACAACTGTTAAGAGGAGACTGTGTGAATCAGGCCTTCATGGTAAAATAGCTGCAAGGAAACCACTGCTAAGGACAGGCAACAAGCAGAAGAGACTTACTTGGGCTAAAGAACACAAGGAGTTGACATTAGACCCGTGGAAATCTGTGCTTTGGTCTGATGAGTCCACATCTGAGATCTTTGGTTCCAACCATTGTGTCTTTGTGAGATGCAGAAAAGGTGAACGGATGGACTCTACATGGCTGAAGGAGGAGGTGTGATGGTGTGGGGGTGCTTTGCTGGTGACACTGTTGGGGATTTATTCAAAATTGAAGGCATATTGAACCAGCATGGCTACTACAGCATCTTGCAGCGGCATATCATTCCATCCGGTTTGCGTTTAGTTGGACCATCATTTATTTTTCAACAGGACAATGACCCCAAACACACCTCCAGGTATAAGGCCTATTTGATCAAGAAGGAGAGTGATAGGGTGCTGCGCCAGATGACCTGGCCTCCACAATCACTGGACCTGAACCCAATCGAGATGGTTTGGGGTGAGCATCTCTGAGAACTCCTTCAAGACTGTTGGAATACCATTTCAGGTGACCACTTCTTGAAAAACATCAAGAGAACGCAGAGTGTGTGCGAAGCAGTAATCAGAGCAAAAGGTGGGTACTTTGAAGAACCTTGAATATAAGACTGATCTTGCAAGGTTAAAAATTATTAGCAAAATCATGTTTTATACGTTTAAACGTTTTATTATACAGTTCACAGTCTTTCTAATTTACCACAAGGACAAAATTTAACATGTGTAAGGATTATATAGGCATAGCTGTTAGTTAATTTATAAGGAAACATTGCTCATTTGGAGCTGTTGAGGGACCCAGGAGGATGTTCATCTTATTGTGCTGAGTAGTAGTAATATAAGCATGCACTGGCAGTTTTTGTTTGAGGAAATGTAATAGTCCTATTTAAATTTGACCAATAACCAAGTCTTATATAAACACTTCTTGAAAACAGAAGATTTGAGTGTACACACATTAGCAATGAATAGAAGAGAAAGTGGGTCACTTGGAGTAAAGATATAAAAAATACAGCTAAATTTAATGCAATAAGTGTCTTTAAATTTTTGGGGAATGCCATAAAAATTGACTGCAGAGTTGGAAAAGGCCTGGGATGGTTATGATCAAAGGAATACTTTCCTTGATTTCTTGTATGAATGCTAGAACATTTTTTCTGTTATTGCAAGGGGTTGTAACCCATCTCTTTACTTGCTATTTTTTGTCTGATGTGAAACAGGAGTATAGGTTAGAAAAAAACTCAGATTGGAAGGGAACAAGGAAAATAGACAGAGAATAGACACAGATAAACTGAAACCCTGATAAAGCTTGATGGTTTGCTTCAGCTGACTTTTTACACTGCATGTCTCACTGCAGCCAGCGTGGTAAGACTTTATGCCACCAGCAGCCCAGCCCATTTGAATGTCTCTTTCATCACAGGCACAAGGGGTGCAGGAAAATTGCTTGGGATTAATTCTGTAAGGTCTGCCAAATGTACACAGCTGGGATCAGTACTTACAGCTTACATGAAGGAGGCGCTTTTTTAAAAGATGCTTTTCTAAGCAGTGGGATGGACCATTCCATTGAAGCAAAGCTGTTTTTAGGGCTCGGGGAGGCTGCTTGAAGTACTAATGCAACTTAAAATGGTGTTGAAAGACATAATAGCACAATGTTCAACGCGATAAGGAATCCAAGCTTTTTCGAACCTCCCCAAGAACACGTTTTAACTGAGGTTCCTAAATGCAAAGTAGTGTGCTTCTTTGGGCTTTTATAATATATATTACATCCAAACATAGAACAGGATGGGATTCTTAAAGACGTATATTAAGAACGAGTCAGAATAACAACTCTCTCTTGAATCAATTTGGGATTGTTTGTCGTTTGTTCTCAAAGTTGTTCTCTCAACAACTTTGCTTCTTCTCACCATCCAAAAAGATTGATGTTGGATAAACTGGTTACTCTAAATTGACCTTTGAATTGATCAATTAAGCATGTAAAGATGTCTGTCGTATTTGTTTCTATGTGTTCCTATGATGTCCTGGTGACCTGTCTAGGTTCCACCATGCCACCTGTCCAGTAACAGCTGGGAAAAGTTCCAGCCCCCCTGTGACCCGACTTGAAATAAGCAGGTGTGGAAACAGGATGGACATATGTC